TTTTGGCTATTTTGGGTTCCTTGTATTTCCATAGTAATTTCAAGATCAGCCTCTCAATTTATGCCAGAAAGCTAGCTAGGATTTTTACTGGTTTTGCATTGAATTTGTTAATCAATATGGGGCACTGTTGATGTCTTAAAAGTTTTTTAATCCATGAACATGAAAGTCTTTCCACTAATTTAGAATTTTCTTTCAGCAATATCTGCAGTTTTTAGTGTTACAGATCTTTCACCTCCTTAAATCTACTCCCAAGTACTTTATTCTTCATGAAGCAAGAAATCACCCCCTAGAGGGGATGGCCACACTGCAATCCCTTCTCTATTTGCCTCTCAGGATTTTGGGCACACATGTACATGCACCCAGGGTGAGTTTCAGCCACTGGGTCCAAGACTTGAACCTGGTAGTCAACCTGGTGGGAGTCCAACACCTTAATCACTATGCCTCCTGCCGAGGTTTTTATTTTTTTAATAGAATTTTCTTAGCTTCAGTTTTGGATTTTTTAAAAATGCAGTCAAGGGACCAGCAGTTAGAGTAATGGCTATGTCACTGGACTCCCACATAGTCAACCGTGGTTTGAGTCCCGGACCTGGTGGCTTAAACTCAAGCTGGGTATGTGTGCGTGCGTGCCCAAGATCCCCAGAGGAGAATGGAGAAGGGATTGTGGCATGGCCATGCCCCCTGGGGGGTGATTTCTTGCTTTCTGTCTCTTCGTTTCTCTCTGTCTGGCGAGCACACATGCCCTATTATATATTTAAATTTCTTCCATGAGAGAGAAAGAGACAGAGAGACAGAGCTGCCCCCAATAGGGTCTTCATGCCATAATCCAGCTGGCCTGGGTACATGGTGCTTCGTGGGCTCAGGAAGGTCCCAGAATACAAACCCAGGATCTTTCCCATATGATTTAGTTGCACTGCTGCTGTTCTACCACCTGATTCTAATTCTGACTATTTAAGAGGAAGGCAGCTGACCCCCATGGTCTAGTGGATAAGAGAGAACAAATCCACATGGCCAACCACATGGCTTGAGACCCAACCCCAGTGGCTTGAAAAACATGCTGGGAATTGGTGTGTGCATGCCCTAAATCCCAGCGGGATGAAGAAATGAAGGAGAAGGGATTGCAGCAAGATCATATCTCATTGCAGGGTGTTTTCTCTTTCTCTCTCTTGAATGTGTACAACCTCTGGCAATAAAAAAGAAAGGAAGGAAGGAAGGACGGAAGAGAAGGAGGAAAAATGAAACGGAGAGAAAGAAAGAAAAATATGAATAAAAGAAAGAAGGGAGAAAAAAAAGCCACTAAAACAATGTTTGGCAGCTCTGTATGTTTGGTTAGGCCTACAGGCTGGGATGATTTACCATAGGGTAATTTGGTAGGAATATGGCCACTTTGTGGGCACTTTTCATGGGATAATCAGTTTCCCTAGAGGAGAACACCATACATTTCTGCCTGAGAGATGTAAGGCTCATTGTTAGTCTACTTGAAATAGAAGAAAAAGGAAACTGAGGGACCAGCAGTTAGCGTAATGGCTATGTCGCTAGACGCCCACATAGTCAACCGTGGTTCGAGTCCCGGACCCGGTGGCTTAAACTCACGCCGGGCGCGTGTGTGTGCAGGTCCATGATCCCAAGAGGAGAATGGAGGAGAAGGGATTGCGGTGTGGCTATCCCCCCTGGGGGGTGATTTCTCGCTTTCTATCTCTCTGTCTCTGTCGGTCTGGCGAGCACATGCGCCCTATAGCAAAAAACAAAACAAACAAACAAACAAAAAACCTCTCAAAAAAAAAAACAAAAAGAAAAAGGAAACTGAGTTCTCACGTTCAATAGGTAGAACCCCATATATAATACATATGTATTAACTCTTATTTTTCATACATCCTTAGCTGTGTCTGGTGTTGAAGAACACAGGTTCTCTAGTTTAACCTTTCCAGAAGTCAATCTTAGCAGCAAAAGAGAAGGTTAAACTGTTTCTCATACTTATTTGCAACCAATCCTCTAGTTTTTAACCTTACTTTCACTATTATTTCAGAGAGTCTCAAGGCCTAAGCTTTTCAATGCATGAATCTGTAGGTTCTTCTTCGCTTTTTATCACTACAGATTTAAATTTTAGCTTTATCTTGATTTCTAAGTTATTCAGCCATTTAACTGTTTTCCAACAATGAAAATTTGTTGACATCTCTTGCATGCCATTGTCTCCTCTCTCTTTATAACTTTGTAGGTTTGACATTTTTATATCTTTACTGCCATGGGATTTTGAGGAGGCAAGACTAACATAAATGATCAACTTCTTCATAAAGATTTTAAAAACCTAAATTCCAGGGACCAGCAGTTAGCATAATGGCTATGTCGCTGGACTCCCATGTAGTCAACCACGGTTCGAGTCCGTCACCCAGTGGCTTAAACTCACTCCAGGCACATGTGCATGCATGCACAAGATCCTGAGAGGATAATAGAGGAGAAGGGATTGCGGTGTGGCCATCCCCCCTGAGGGGTGATTTCTCGCTTTCTGTCTCTCTGTCTCTATCTTTCTGGCGAGTGCACATGCCCTATAGCAAAAACCTCTCCAAAAAAGGGAAAAAAAATTAAAAAAAAAAAAACTAAATTCCACATGACCTTTTCTGACATTAAAGTAACCTATAGTTTCCAAGACAAGAGGCCATAGCATTGAGCATGAAAGGAAGAAGATGATAGTTAATATTACAGAAAAGTGCTGATAATCAATGGACAGTCAGGGTGCTACTATGTTTTGGTTCTACTTTGATTTGTATTTAAAGAGCCCTAAGGTAGAAAGGTATTTAAGTTAACAAAACATTTGGGAGAAAAAGGTTTAACTTTTCTTTTTCTGACTGTTTTCATATTGCTTTGCTCAAATGAATTATGCCCACTTGAGACAAAGATTATGCTTTTAGTAAAGCAGACTAGCTAGGAAACTTATTTTACAACTATAACGTAGATGCAAAACCATCTGGTATATTTCCAAAGGCTGCTATTATATTTCATGGCCTTAAAATACTTCATATACTCTAATAGTCCCATGAGGGCTTTAAAAGGGGGACAAAAGAAAGATAACATGGGGCCAGCCCATTGTGTGGTAGCTATGGCTACTGGATCCTACATGGCCAATTGCACAGTTCAAGTTCCAAACCCAGTGGCTTGAAAAACATGACTGGTACATGTGTGCATGCCCAAAGTCCCAAAAGAAAAGAGAGGTGGAGCAGACAGGATTGTGGCAGGACCATTCCCCATGTGAGTGAGAGAGTAGGGTTCTTTTTCATTTTCTCTGTCTCTCTCCAGAGAGTGCATTACTAAGGTATAAATAATTCTAGCTGGAGAAATACAAAAGGTCCTCATAAAGGACATGATGTTCAACCATTGATTGCTTAAATTTGCTGGTTAAATTGCATGGTAACTTATGTGCCAAGGCAGAGAGTAATGAAAAGATATTGTATATTCTTTTCATCATATATATTATATATATATATTCTGGCAAAATTTTAAAAGATACACACACACACACACACACACACACACACACACCGTCAAAGAATTTCTACATATAGAAGAGTAACTCAGAATATTATGAGTTTTATAAAATGATGTAAAACATTTGCTTGATTTTAATTTTTATTGGTTGGGGCCAGCATTTGGCATGGTGGTTAAGGCACTAGACTCCCATGTGGCTGACTGTGGCTCAAGTCTTGAACCTAGTAGCTTAAAAATCATAACAAGCACATTTGCATGCATACCCAAAATCCCAAGAGAAGAATGAAGGAGAAGGAACTATGATATGGCCATTCCCCCCAAGGGGTGATTTCTCACTTTCCTTCTGTCTCTGTCTCTCTACCTAGTGAGTGCATGCACCCTTATGGAAAAAAAAATCTTTTAAAAAATTTATTGATTTTTTTTTTTTTGGAGAGGTTTTTCACTATAGGGCGCGTGCGCTCGCCAGACAGACAGAGAGAGACATAGAGACAGAAAGCGAGAAATCACTCCCCTGGGGGGATGGTCACGCCGCAATCCCTTCTCCTCCATTCTCCTCTCTGGATCTTGGGCACGTACACACACGCGCCCAGTGTGAGTTTTAAGCCACCGGGTCCGGGACGCGAACCGCGGTTGACTACGTGGGAGTCCAGCGACATAGCCATTACACTAACTGCTGGTTCCCTATTAATTTATTTTTAAAAGGATTTGTCCCTTTGTAACACACTACTACTTGTTGATATTATTTCAACAAAATCAATAAAATAATAGCTATACTTTCTATTTTAAAAAATAAAATATGAAAATTATAAAATTATGTATCTATAATATAAATAAATGACTTTATGATATCCTAGAAGAGCATGTTTTGAAGCTCTAGAAACTCTCCAAACAATGTTGTATAATGGAGAAAGTACTGAACCTCACATTTTTTACTAATTCAACTATTGGTTGCTAAGCATTTATGTCATAAGCTGAGACATGGTTGCTGAAAATGCAAAAATGTATAACCCATGTTCAGGGAAGGAAAAAAATATATAATCAGACTATTACAATACAATGAGATATATGTAGTAATAGATAATATACGAATGCGATGGGTTTACTAAGGTATAAATAATTCTAGTTGGAGAAATACAAAAGGTCCTCATAATAGACACGATGTTCAACCACTGATTGCTTAAATTTGCCGGTTAAATTGCATGGTAACTTGTGTGCCAAGGCAGAGAGTAATAAAAAGATATGGTATATTTAGAAATATAATACTGAGATGTTTATGCTTAATTGTGAGGAATTTGGTGGATAAAGGTAATGTATAAGGATGAAAAAACAGACCTTATGGTTTTAGAAATGGGCAAATGAAACTGTAAAGCATCATTTAGTAGTTATGTGATCTTAGACAAGTAATTTAATGCCTTACAATCAGTTTAAACACAAAACACACATACACACACACACACACATATATATATATATATTCATAGATAGTATTACAGTAACATTTTATTAAATTTCATTTCACTTACCTACCTAGGGCCTGGTTTAAGGCCCTGTATGCTTGAATTTCATACCACTGACGGCCAGGTAAAAGACCTCTCAATTTTGAATGATGGTCATTGTACTGTCGCTTTAGTTCAACCTAATAATTTAAAAATACAGTTTATAATTAAAGTTTATATTAAAAAATCACATTAGCTTCTAACATTTTGAATACAATTTGTATAGAAAGATTTTATTTTGTTTTTCAGAGCTGATATTTTTATCAAAGTTTTTTTTTTTTTTTCCAGTTTTTGCTATAGGGTGCATGAGTTCCCAGAGAGAGGAAAAGTAAGAAATCCCCCCCAGGGGGTATGACCACACCATAATTCCTTCTCCCCCCTTCTCTCCTTGGGATTTTGCACATACATGCACATGCACCAGACATGATTTTCTAACCAGTGGGTCCAGGATGTGAACCACAGTAGGCCATGTGGGAATCCAGCCATCTTAACCACCATACCACCTACTGGCTCTCTGAATTTTATTTTTAAAAAGTGTTTTGGTGTGGAAAACTTTGCCTATACAGAAAGAATTGTTTAATGTTTCTCCCTCACACAACTGTCAATATTTTGTCCATCTTCTCTAATCTTTTCCATGTTTTCTTGTGTATATATTAGGAAGAAGGAGCACTGAAGCTCAGCCTAGGTGGCAGAGTTCATAGAATACTGGGACAGCAGATGGCATAATGGTTACATCGCTGGGCTCCCACATTGTTGACTGCATTTCAAGTCCCAGACCTGGGGGCTTAAAACTCACACTGGGCGTGTGCCTGTAAGTGCCCAAAATCCTGAGAGGAGAAAGGAAGAGGAAGGATTGCGGTGTGGTCATTTCTCTTGAAGAAGTGATTTCTCACTTTCTGTCTCTCTCTCTGTCTCTCCAGCAAGCACATATGCCCTATAGCAAAAATCTCTCTAGAAAGAAAGAAAGGAAGGAAGGAAGGAAGGAAGGAAGGAAGGAAGGAAGGAAGGAAGGAAGGAAGAAAAAAAGAAAGAAAGAAAGAAAGAAAGAAAGAAAGAAAGAAAGAAAGAAAGAAAGAAAGAAAAATAACTAGAATACTAGTCTACAATGCTGAAAGCCACATGCCTGACCACGGGTTTGGAGCCCTGGGTAAGCCTGGAAACATAAGAGGCACACACAAGTATGCTAAAATCCTGAGGAGCTGGAAGACTGAGGAAATGGGACACTCTCTTTCTCTCTTACTCTCATGCTTCTCTCTCTCTTGTGCACACGCACTTTCTATCAGGAAATTAAAAAAAAAAAAAAGGGAAGAAGGATCATTGGGGTATCTGCCAGTTGTACAGGGTGATATGTAAGTTGGTACCACTTAAATCTATCAGATATAAATTTACATATATTTTGAGTTAGAAGGGTTCTTATAAAATGCTTGAATAATTCTTTCTAGAATGGGGATTCAAGTTCAAGTCCATGTTATCACTAGAAGACTGAAAGATAGGCTTCTCGAACTTGTGAAAACTTTGTGCTTGATTTGTGCCCTTGTATTTCTGAGGATAGAGTTTGTGGCTTTTTAGAAAATTGTCACAAAGGTCCTGATGTCTGAAAATATAAGAATCACTACTTTACAACATACTCACCAATAAACTTATCTCTATATACTGAACTGGTAGGTTTTTTTAAACTGGATAAAATTATTACAATTTTTTTTGAAACTGTACAATAAAGAATGATTCTCTGGTTAGATACTGAAACATGCCAGCACAATACTGACACAAGACATAATTAACAGAAAACAAATCCAGAATAGTTTGAATGGTTATACTGAATGGTTATACAAGCTGGATCCCACATGGCTGACCAAGGTTTGAGTCTTGGACCCATCAGCTTAAAAAACACAGGGCGGGAATCGGGGGAAGGATACTAGCGGATGGCGTAATGGTTACGTTGCAATTGACTACTGTTTGAGACGTGGATCCAGCAGCTTAAGATTCATGTTGGGCACATGAGTGTGCATGCCCAAAATCCTGAGAGGGGTACAGAAGAGAAGGAATTGCAGTGTGGCCATCCTTCTTGGGGGGTGATTTCTCGTTTTCTGTCTGTCTTTCTAGTGAGTGCATGCACCCTACAGCAAAATCTCTCTCAAAAACAAAACAAAACAAGACAAAACAATAAAACACACTGGGAACATGTGTATGTGTGCCCCAAATCCTGATAGGATGAAGAAATGGAGAAGGGATTTTGGTGTGACTATACCCTTTAGCAATTAAAAAAATAAATAAATAAAAACAAAACCAGCGTGGAATCTGCAAACATACCATTGCTTATTTGGCACATAATAAAGGTGGAACTTCGAATTAGTGAGGAATAGGTAAACTATTAAAAACATAGAAAAAGAAAACACTAGGAACAGCAAGGAAAAGAGGAGAAATCTCTGAGGCACAGAAACCCAGCTGGGGATATAGAGAAGAAGATAAAGAACCAGGCTGGGAGAGATCAAGAGCACAGGAGAACTCCACACTATGGGAAGGAGGTAAATGAAATTTCCTTAGCACTTCCCAGCCCCACCTCAAATGCCTATATTCCCAGATGTAGGAGAGTCTCAAAGTCATCAAATCATGAACCCAGTGTAGGAAGCTTCCCGGATTCCTTACTCAGAAAAAGAACACATGCTGGACACACAACCCTCTCCTAACTAACACCTTGAGACCCAAGCTCTAATGGCATAGCACTGTTTTGGAAGTAGAGTCAATCAAAGTACTCCTGTCCTGGGGGTTGGTAAATCTTGCATCTCCATATCCCTGAGTCACTGCTGCCATCCCAGCATGTCCATGCAAAGGGTTTCAGCTAAGCATAGTTGAAAACCAGTGATCCAGCAGTGATCCCACACCTGTGTCCTCATAGCACCTTCACTCAGGGGAGCAAATGGTACAATATAATGGAGAGGATGCCCCTGAGATATATGAGGACTCAATGCAGGTGCCCCCAGAGACTGATACTGATCACCTCTCCTCTGAAAAGACTATGGTCTCCAGACACACTCCACCAGAGCCTGAGGACTTCAGACACATGTCCCCCAGAGAATGAGGCTTCCAGACACCTCCCTCCCACAGACTCAATACTCCTGACCTCCATCTTCTCAGCTGCAGCTGCCACCACCAGCCCCATCCACTTGTCCAGCTGGGTTTCCCAATGTGGACTCCTAGAGTTGGTGAAGCCAGCAGACCCACACCCACAGGATCCCTTTGGTCCCACCCATTCACCTGATTATGCTTCCTCACACTTCATGGGCACCCAGAATCGGTGGACCTGGTGGACTCATCCCCACAGGACCTGCACAACTGTTCATTTACCCAGTGGCTTCCAAACCCTTTGCATGCTCCACCTAGGCTTGATGATGTAACTTGTGTGCAACAGCAGTGCCATCCAGGTACTTCAACTGGAGGAGTCCAGATACCTTCTGCAGGGCATGAGAATACCGGCTGCCTCCCACATGCCTGCTTCCACCAACGCAACAGGTAACTCTCTATACTCTTTTGTGGTGGTGCCCTGTATGCCACGCCTATCCCATCAAGTCTTGAAAACACTGACCCA